TTATGGAGAAGAGGTCTGAGCAAGGCTTTGCTGCTTATACTCATTCAATAGCACTTTGTAAACATTGGGAAATGGAGTCTGACTCCAGAACCTTCTGCAGATAGTTTTCTTCCTTAGTTCCCTTCCTCCTCCTTATCAGTAATATGTTACCAGTGTGGATGTGCAAAGCCAGTCTTAGACAGCAAGCAAGTTTTGCCCTAGGTGGCCTTTCCTACAGCCTCTTCATGCTGCTGTTACATGAGGGACTTACCTTTGTGATACAGTAACAGGTAGGACATTAAGAGCTAGCCTGTTGGTGGCAGTCCCACCCAAATTACACCATTATGCACTTCTGGAGTCACTGGTATAAAGGAGAGGGTAAAGTCTTTACTGTCACTCCAGGGACTGCAGATAGTTCTACACAGAATGGATTTGTTGCTTCAGCTAATGGCAGTGTCTGAGTGTAGTAGCTTTATATTCAGAGTATTTTAGTAGCTTTTGATATTAAAATTAGCCTTTCTTCTCTGTGTTTAGTGCAATAGCTGCTGAGAACTATAAGTCTCATTTACTGGTACTTTTTTTTCTTTTTTAAAGATTTTTGATGGTGTGTGTGTGTGTGTGTGTGTGTCGGTGTAGTATATTCCATGTACATGCAGTGCCTGCAGAGGCCAGAAGAGGGCATCTTATCTCTTGGGCTTGAAGTTATAGATGGTTGTGAGCTACCCAACATAGGTGTTGAGAACTGAACTCTGGAAGAACAGGAAGTGCTCTTAACCACAATGCCATCTCTCCTTTGCCTTGTTGAGATTAAACAAAAACAAACACTGTTGTCTTTTATCCTCTGTGGAGTTTTAGATACTTAAAACAGGGTAAAACTGTGGGCATTAACTGGACCAGCAATACTCTGTGGGACCAGGTCACACTTGAGTTCCTCTTTTACTAACTTCTGAATGGAGTCTGAACGCTGCCCCCCTTCTTCCATCTGCAGACAGCCAGGGCTGAGAAGTCTAGGGTTCAGCCACTAGAGTCCTCAGAGCTCTTATGGTTCCATGCTTCTTGGGCTCTGTGCATCTGGGTTTGGGGTACAGTGTGCATCTCTGTGCTTTTCCTGGTGCCACGGGAAGGGGGCTCATCTGCCCTCTTCACAGCTGCCCATTTTGTTCCTCCTGACCTGGGTGGTCCTTGTCTGAAAGTGGCCTCAGTGCCATAGGCTGCCCTCAGCTCAGCCAGGCCACCAGGCCCTCCCCTGTGGCCCTGCTAATGACCTTTCTCTGTTGTTAGCTAAGGCCACACAGTTGGTAGTTTTTGCCAGTCTCAGTGTAGCTCAGCAACTGAGGCCTGCTCAGGGCATAGCCACACTGGCCTGGCTGGCTGGGCAGGCTCTGCTTGGCTGTGTTCAGCCTCCTGGTTCTGAGATCTGGCTCCGAGCACTGGGAGCCTCGCTTCTAAGCAGCAGTATGAATGGTGCTTTTTGTTACAAGTGGAGGTTGCAGGACAAGTGCTTGGTAACTGAACAGTAGAAGTGTGGGCCAGACTTGTGCTGTGGTAGACAGCGTGTCACATCGTTTTATCTCTGCTGGCGTGGGCCTGCTCACCGAGTTGCCCAACAGCCCCTTCTTTCCAAAAAACAAAAAAAGTGAACAGGGCAGCCACAGCTGAGCTGTTGAAAAGAGGCCGATTTCTCTGCACCTTCCCCGCAGCTGTCCATCCGCGCGATGGAGATGCATTATTTAAAAGAAAATAAATGTGCCTCCACTGCCTGGACTCCCACCTCCCATGGCCCTGGGCCTGTGAGAGAGTTGTGCAATGTCTAAGGGCAGATCTTGCACTGGGGTGCCTTCCCTCCCACTGAGACAGTGACATCAGCCTGCTCACCATGGCTGTGGTCAGACCGGAGACAGCAGCCAAGTGGCTGGTGTGGGGAGGTGTGGTTTGATGTTTTGACTTTAGGTTCAAACGTGTGGAAGGGCTGTGGGGGAGGGAAGGAGGGCAGTAAACTGTGGGGCAAGCTGGAGGGCTGTTGTTGAAAGCTAGCACAGCTGGCGGTAGTAGCCCACCAGTTGAGGCTATGGCAGGAAGAAGAGGAGTTGGAGGCCAGCCTGGGCCACACGGTGAGACCCTCCCCTCTAAGCCAGCAAATACACACTGCTGTTTTGAAAGTTCAAGTTCTGTGTTTTGTTGACTGAAAAAGGCGAGAAAGCAGCAGCCATTGTCACTGTGTCCAGAGAGTGGAGTTTCAGGTCCCTCAGGTACAGGGTCTCAGATGAGGCTGTGCACTGTTCTCCTGGCCACACGTCCCAACATGACTTTGATGGGACTGCTCATGATACAGCTGTGTCTTTCTCCTCCCCTGCCCATGTGTGTTTGTGCATGCCGTGCTAGGGAAGATGCCCCAGGGCCTTGTGTGTCCTAAGGCAGTGCTTGGCCTTCAGCCCTTTCCTTTCTATTAATTTCTTCCTTAAAATAAATATATGCTCATACTTGTGAAACCCTGGGCCAAAAGAAAATCTTGTTGATCTTTAACTGGGGGACGATGTTTTAGGGCTGCTGCTGCTGCTGCCATGAGTGGAAGTAGCAGCTATGTAGATAGCATTTGTGTGTGGCTGGAGTTTTTCTTCAGGAATAGTGAGTGCTCATATGTCGTAGGCAGGTGCTCTGCCTCCAGCACCTGCTGAAATCACTCAAACCTTCCTCTGCCACAAGCAAGAATATAGCAACTGGGCTGTAAAATATAAGCATTGGACAGCTTCCCCTAGGTTGGGGGGAAAATGAACCAAAAGATGAGCAGAAAGGTGTCACTGGCCAGTTCCGGTCACCATTGAGGATTGTTGCCCTTCAGCTTGGAGTTAGGGAGGTGTTGGTCTGATTAGCAGAAGACTTGCTTCCTGTCTGCAGCTCACCTGAGCAAGCCATTCAATTCGCTTCCCTGGTCATGTGTTACCTCATCTATGTAGTGAGATTGCAGCGGTGCTCACGAGGTCCCCAGTGCTGCAGGGGACTCTGGTTCCTTCAGGGTCCTTAGTCCCAACTCCATCCCTGGAAAATCCTCTGTGGCAGCCTCTGAAGCTCATTCCTGTGTGAACTTGAAATGGATCAAACACACGTCCTTTAAAGGCTGCCACAGCCTCAGGGCCTGGAGCCAAGTGCTTTCTCTACCAAGCGTATGCTGTGTAGCCACTGGGTGACTGGCCTCTCTGTAGGTGACTTCCCAATGATGGGGCCTCTGGGTGGCTTCTGTCCTGAGGCTGGTCCTCCCCATAGCTGCTGCCCTGAATGACTGCTCCTTTTTTGGACCCCTTGGAACTTGTTGCTGTGGTGATTGTTTCCATAGCAATGTCTGTTGCCCCAGCAGGCCGCTGATGAAATGGCTTCTGAAACTCTGGGGTCCATGCTGAGCCTGTGTCCTCCCCACTCCTTGGCCCCTGCCAGGGGTGTTGGGAAACACTGGGCACAGAGCGTGGACAGTGTAGACTGTTTTGTGTAGGTTGGTTTGCAGGGGTGGTGAGTTCCTGGGGTTTCATGGGGCTCTTCCTCTGCTCACTGGAGTCTTAAAAAGGCATCTTTGCTCTGTAGAGGAAGAAACAAGGTTGGGGAAGAAGCAAGAGACTAGGGAGGGAAGGAAGCGTGCATCTTCTCAAGGTCCGAGGAGGGACATTGCTTAACACTGATTTCTGACACCAAAGGTTAGCGGAAAGGAAACTGAAGCCTACCCAGATCAGCCAGAGTCTATGAGAGTGGCAGGCCGGTCCAAGAGTCCATGTTGAGCTAGCTACTCTGTGCAATATGGAAAGTTCCAGTTTGCCCTGTGGCCAGAAGCCTTACAAGAAATCCTGCCAGGGGTGTATTACAGGTCACTGTATATTTGCAAGTTTATATCTTGTTTTCTAAACTGGCAGAGTTTTTGTTTTTCCTGGTGGGTACTCAGAAGGCCTTTCCCTCTCCCTCCTTCCCCCTAACAAAATCGCATTTGTCGCCTGTGACGCCTGTTTGACTGCCACACATTAGTGATGATCTGAAAGGAAGAGAGTGGTCACAAAGGTAGCTTTTCTTGGATACCACAGCACCTCAGATGAAGTTGACTTCATGCTAATAGGAGTCTTAATTGTGACCAGTGGAAATAAGATTGGTCAGCCCCAGAAGCCAATGTGTACTGCCCAACAGAAGGGTTTCTCTGTGTGAAAGTTAGCCCGCCCACTTGAAGTAATTATAACTCTTGTTATAAATTTGAGAAGATACAAAACCCTTAATATTTAAAAGGCCCTGATTGTCTTGATTCACAACCAGGCACAAATATATCTCTCAACCCTTGACAACAGCCCAGAAAATCAGATCTGTCAAAGCAGATCTTTGGCAGAGACCCCTTGTGAGCACCTAGCTGTGAAACACATTTTGAGAGTTGCTGCTTGGGGACAGAGAGGCAGCTCGGTGGTTAAGAGCACTTGCTGCTCTTCCAGAGGTCCTGGGTTCAGTTCTCAGCACTCATGTTTAGCAGCTCTCAACTGCCTATAACGCTAACTCCAGGGGATTCAACAACCTGTTCTGGCCTCCATGGGCATTGTGGGTACACACACACACACACACACACACACACACACACACACACACACACGTTTTTAAAATGTAATAAAAACAGCAAAGTTAGCCTGTCAGCAGTGGTTTTATGCACTTTCTTAAAGGTATAAGGTTGAATTCCTGAGAATCAAAGGGTCTTCTGAGTTTTAACTTCCCTTTGGGGATTGCTCACAATCAGTTTTCCCCTCTCGGCTGTTTATAGCAACTTTTCAATTTAAACTCTACCCTAAAGAGTTAGTGCTGGCAAATGTCAAATGTCCCCTGCTTGGCAGTGGCCACATGCCCAGACCATGTTCTGAGGATGGCAGGCTGCCTGCTGTATTGCCAAAACTTTCCCCAGAGAGAAGTTTTGCAAGGGGCTGGGCAGGGGCCAGGGAGCTAGGGGACCATGGAGGCCACAGTGGGGTGCTTTTCTTGCTGATAATAACATCCCCATTCTCTTTGCGTAGGTGAAGCTGCTCTCAGGGGAGAACCCAGAATGCAGACCCTTCCGGTGGCTTCTGCTCTCAGCAGTCACCGCACAGGCCCCCCTCCCATCAGCCCCAGCAAGAGGAAATTCAGCATGGAACCCGGGGACAAGGACCTGGACTGTGAAAATGATCACGTCTCCAAGATGAGCCGTATCTTCAGCCCCCACCTGTAAGTTTTGCCCCTTTGGGCTCATGCTTGCTCTGGGCCAGGCTGTATTTCCTTTTACCTTTCTGCCCATATTGTCTTTATGATTTCATGAGTTATTGCTAGAGGACATTATTTATAGAAGATAGGTGGTGTTTATATGCCAGGAAGGTGTCAAGTTGACTAGTAACAGTTGGTCCAGAGATGAAATCTTACTTCCTTTCAACTCCTACAACCTCTCCCTCTTGGAGGCCAGCATCCCTTAAGACCTCCTGTGGGTCTGGTCTGGAAAGACTGGCTTGGTGCACTCTGCTGGCCATTATGCAAATTGATAGTGGGTGTCTGTCTTTACACAACCAACAAATGATAGTGAGTACATATGAAGGCTGTTATGTGTATGCCTGCATACACGTGCATGCATGTGTGTGTGCGTGTGTGCATGTGTGCGTGTGTGTCTGTGTTTGTCCATCCAGTACTGTGCCCTATGGAACACTCCTTTGTGTCTGTGGCTGGTCACAGCTGGAATTAACCTGGAGCCAAAGGTAAGAGAGCCTGTCTTAGTGTCAAGTGACTGTAATTCTGATCCTTGATTAAATTGATTGGCATGCCCAAGTGTCCTCTCTGCCCTTCATTTTCTTTCTGTATTTTTTAAAACTTTATTTCTTTTTAAGATTTTATTTATTTTTATGTGCATTGGTATTTTTCCCGAATGTATGTCAGTATGGAGGTGCCAGATTCATTGGAATTGTAGTTTCAGACAGTTATGAGCTACCATATGGGTACTGGTAATTGAACCTGGATCCTTTGGAAGAGCAGCCAGTTCTCTTAATTGCTGAGCGATCTCTCCAGCCCATCTTTAAGCCCATTTCAACATGAATGGGCTTAAGCTGAAGTTCTCTGAATCTGTGCCATAGTCTGTCTATCCCTGGCTAAGGCAGTGAATGCCATTTTGCATTTGCAGGACTTGGTGAGCCCTGGATGTCTGGGCTGTAGCAGTTGTGTAGTCGGTCCGTGTCCCCGGGTGCAAATGAGTGGTTTGTAATCACTGGAATTGCTCCACAGACAGGGCGCAGTGGTACTGCAGCAGGTGCAGCACAGGCTCCTCCTGTGGCCAGCGGTCTGCAGCTGGAGACAGCCCTGGTCTCTGCTGCCTCAACCCTCGTCCTCACATTCCATGCATGCCAATCTGCCTGGTCTGTTGTGTTCAGTCATGAGACACTGACAGAGGTATTTATCCTCAAATAAATCACTGTAGTGTTAGTCAGAGGCTGAGCCTGCAGTCTGGAGCCTGGAATTTGCTACACTCAGGAATCCGGCCGGCAGCTGAGGCTTGTGCGAAACAGCGCCCTCTCTCACTCACTGCAGGGGAGGGGCTCAGATGGCTGCTCATTGCTGAGATGTCTGGTGTCCATTTTTGTATTACCAGAGGCTCTTATTCTCTTCCATCCAATTTCCCCAGACCCAAATAAGAGACCTTTGATTCTTTCTTTCTCGAAGGGAGGGATGGGGAGGGGAAGAAGAGGCAGCCTTGTGGTGGTGCAGGTTGGGAATATGCTTTAGTTGAAGTCCTCGTTCTGTGGCTGCTAAGTTGTAAGGTGTGGACCTGGTTCTTCCAGGCCCAGTGTCCTTACTGTAAGGTGGCAATGATCAGGTTAGCAGGTAGAGAACCTCAGGGTTAAAACAGATAAAGACATACTCGGTGGAAGCTTTGGCTTTTATCATTACTAGCCTCAATTTTGAGATGCTGGCTTTGATGATGGCAGAAGTCAAGAGTGTGTGTTGTTGGAGAGTGTGTGTGTCTTTGGGTGCCCTGACTCAGGTGCCGGGGGCAATGATTGTGCCTTCTTGTCAGGTTATTTTAGCACTTAGTTCAATGCTCTGCTTTGTTTGTTTCCTTGAGGCTGGTTCTTATAAGGCCCAGACCAGCCTTGAACTCACTAGATAGCACTGGCTATCCTTGAACTTGATCCTCCTGCCTCTGCCTTCCCCAACACAGGGATTATAGACAAGTACCACCACGACTGGCTGTAGTTGCCAATGTTAGAGTGTTAGAACACTTTAAAAATAGTTTTGTAACTTCTTGGTGATTGAAAACAAGAGGTTGAAATACTGGCCTATGATAACACTCTAAATAGCTTTAAGCCTACACGGTAGTATTGTGAGGTTTAGGGGTGCTGCTCTGTGCATGGCAGATTTTGCCTGAGTGCACAAGTTCCTCTGCCTAGCCCACAGCACTGCCGAAATGAGAGAGCATCATCAGATTTGGTGTGCAGCTTCCAATTAGCATCATTATGGGAGGAAAGTGGAAACTGCGCCCTCATTCTGCCAGACTCTCCGGGCTCCCAATAGCTAGTTGGCTTTCCCCATGTATGTATGTATGTATGTATGTATGTATGTATGTATGTATGTTTGTATGTATGTTTGTATGTATACATATACATATATACACAGTATATATTAAAATACACTTATCATAAATTCTGTGTGCATGTTCATTTGTATGCATGTATATGGATGGATGCAAGTGCACATACGTGTAGGTGTTCTGCTCACACATGTTGTTAGTACTTAGTATGTTGATTGACTTATGAGATGTCTTGTTTGAGCTGTGGCATGTTTTCTCCCCCCCCCCCTTTTTTTATGGCTAAGAGGACAATAGGAGCTATTATCTTGGGGCAGGAATGGTCTGCCTATATATGTGTCTTGATAGTGTAAAGTGATTATAAAGTGTGTGTGTTCTGGCGTTCTAACATTTGCTAATGGTGTATGAGTAAAGTGTGTCTTGTTTGCTTTATGTGAAGGGAATTGCCATAATTCTGAGGAGGGCATGTTGCTGAAGTAAAGTTTGAACACTAGCAAAGAGGGTCACGAAGGTGTGTTGTTCTGACTCACTCCATGGTGTGGTGCTGTCCATTGGGGATGGAGGCCGAGACTTGTTCTGAGGCAGGGTGGGAGCTGCAGGGAATAAAGCCTCCCTTAGTGACTCCTCCGGCATTTGGTCCCTTGTCACTTGAGTCATTTGAATCCAGTTCTTCTCACCGGACTGGTGGCCCCAGGAAGACAGTTGCTGGTTGAGAGCTGCTGAGAGTATGGCTGTTGGGAATTGGGAGGAGCTGGGATGGGATGGGTGGGATTGCTTCTGTGGAAGGGTCAGTGAGTGGCTTTGCTGTGGTGTGGCCTGTCTTGTGGCAAAATGTCCACTTTTCTTCTTTTTGCTTATTTTTATATGGACCCCTGAGTTGTCCTTCAGCTCCTGCTTTAGGTCTCCACTGCTGTGGAAGACTCCTTACCTCCTGTTCCTAGACTCCTTGCTCATCGCCGTGGCTTCGTGGCCACCTGTGCAGAAAGCTCTGGGTCCTCTTAATGGAGAGCAGTGTTCAGAAACCCAGCGCTGGGTACTAGGTGTCACATGGTGATTTACTCTTACTATGGTATCTCTTGAGTCCTCTGATACAGTGGGCACTAGCCATAGCCTGTGAATTGGAAACAATTTGGGGGCTGGAGGTGTGGCTTAGCGAGCGGCTGAGTATTTGTTTCACCACAAAGTAAAAAGTTAAGAAAAATTGAGAGTTCCATGTTCTCAGTTGCCCAAACTACATTTTAAGTTCAGGAGCCACTGTGACCAGTAGTGTTTATTGTGGGCAGCTAGCCCTAGAGCGGAGCCGTCCTCTCAATGGACCCTGCCTAGCGCTTTTCTAGACACTTTCCCTTGGAAAGTTCTGAGTTCCTGTGTAGTAACGCTGTTCTGGTTTCACCCTACAGAGCTCTTCCTTCCCTCCATCCCACATCTAATTCTTCTCCCCAAGTCAGAATCTCCCTTCAGATACCAGCTCACTCCTACAGGCCAGCCCCCCACTGAGGGCTTCCAGATTGCTCTGCCTATAGGTGCCACTCTGAGAAAAACCCTCATAACAGGTTTGGTATGCTTGCAGGTCTCTTTTTGGTTTTTCGGGATGGGGTTTCTCTGTGGTTTTGGAGGCTGTCCTGGCACTAGCTCTTGTAGACCAGGCTGGTCTCCAACTCCCAGAGATCCGCCTGCCTCTGCCTCCCGAGTGCTGGGATTAAAGGCACAACCGCTCATTTCATGTTTTTGTGACTATATACTTTGTTGCCTCTTCCTGACCAGTGTGGTTCCATTTGCATTGAGTTCTAGATCCCCTCCCCCCTTACCTTTGCTGATTTTACTTTATCTTTTTTTTTTTTTTTTTTTTTTTTTTTTTTTTGAGACAGTGTTTCTCTGTGTAGCAAGAGCTATCCTGGAACTTGCTCAATAAACCAGGCTGGTCTCTAAGTTAGAGATCCACCTGCCTCTGCCTCCTGAGTGCTAAGAATAAAGGTGTGTGTCACTATTGCCCCACTTTATCTTATCTTTAAGATGTTAATCTGCAGCTGGGCGGTGCATTTGAAGGGCTGGAGAGATGGTTTAGCAGTTAAGAGCACTGACTGCTTTTCCCAGAGGACCCAGGTTCAATTCCCAGCACCCACATGACACCTCACAACTTTAACTCTAGTTCCAGGAGACCTGACGCCCATGGCAAAATACCAGTGTACATTAACAAAAACAAACAAACAAACTAAAAAATCCAAAAGGAATCCTTAATTCTCTCTCTGATAACACTAGCTTCATGGGCAAAATGCCTGGCACATAGTATGTAGTTAATGATTAGCTCTAATTACTGAAGAATAAAGGTTTTAGAAAAAAAAGTGCACTTGGGCAAAGTGTAGCCTCCCCAGCCACCAGACTTCTGATAGCGAGTGTGTGAGTTTTCACACCCCTTTCCTTACACTGAGGTCACACAATTCTTCAGCTCACATGGGCATTGGCACTTTCGTGCAACAGTGTATGGTAGTAATCCTTCACACCAGTGTCATGTCCATAGCTGCATGGCAGTCCAGGGTCTCCATACTTCCTTAGCTAGTCCCGTGAGTACAGCTCTTAAGGTAATGTCCATCACTTACAAAGTACTGCTGCCTGGGAAGCTGAGTGTCTGTCTGTAGTAATGTAAGCTGAGAGCCAGCAGCTG